CTTTGGAGGGGCGGGAATAGGAGGTGGGCCTCGCCTGTTATACTGGAAGCTCACTAAAGGTAAGGACTCAGTCTCCCTCAAACCTGGGCTCCGGGAGCCCTGTGTCCCTGACCCCCTCTGGCCCTCTTCCCAGCTTGGGCTGGCTCCCAGAGGCCCTGAGGCAGCCAGCTGTTCCTCAGTGTCCCAACTAAGGCTGTCATCTCTCCCTCCACAGCTCTTTCCCATTCCTTGCTCCAGATCCTCGGCCTGCCTGAGAGCCCTGTTGGCCCAGGCTGGCTGGATTTGGGGGAATGATAGAAGAGACTGGCATCTGTCAGGGCCTGGGAAGGGGTGGTGGAGGAAGCTCAGGGCCTTCCCCTGGGTGGGGAAGGAGGAGTCCAGATGGAACAGTCTCCTCCTGTTCCACCCTCCCAGCCCCTGACATAGCAAGCATCTCCTAGCAACGGTACAGTAGCAGGGGGCTGGGAAGAGGGTGGGGGCTGGGAAAGTGGGGCGGGGAACAATGACATCATAAATTATCCCCAGCCCCTCCCTGCCAGCCCACCCTTCCTCACTTGAGAATGGCTTCCTTTCTCTCTCCACCTGCTCCTCATTCAAGATTCCCTCAGCAAAGCTGGCCCCTGCTCAGTGCCCCTTACAGATGCCCCTCTAGGTCAAGGTGACCACTCTCTGCTTTCTGCTTGAGCTCCAGAGTGAGGGAATTCTCACCATCCCAGGATCTCTCAGGGACCCTTGTTGGAACCTCCCCAGTGGTGGGAGGGGGAGACTGCCTTCTGGGCTGCCCCGGAAAGCCTGGGAAACTACCACTTTCCAATGGCCTCTGGCTCCTGCCTCTTTCTTTGGGTGGGGATAGGGACAAGGAAGGGACATTTCAAAGCATTTTGTGATATAGACTCCCCTTCTCTAAACAAAAGGTTTTAGACTTGGGGCCCCCAAGTCTTTAAGGGGCACTCGGACCTCTCACCAAGCTAGCTAAGTCTCAGTTTCCCTGTCTCAACAGCTGGAGTCCAGCAAGCCCAATAAAGAGACTAAAGCTGGGTGGCAGTTCCTTCCTTACCTCTCAAATCAGCCATGTCAAGCCAAGGGTCAAAGAACTGGTGCTTCAGCAGTACAGATCTTGGTTAGACATTGGGAAGAACTTCCCAAGAGAAGAATAAGAAAGATCATGGAATTTCCTGACTGGAGAGAGGAAAAGTCTGTCATAGAAACAGGAAACTGGGGGGCCGGCCCGGTGGCGCAAGCGTCGGGGTTCGGATCCCGGGCGCGCACCAACGTACCGCTTGGCGGGCCATGCTGTGGCGGCATCCCATATAAAGTGGAGGAAGATGGTCACAGATGTTAGCCCAGGGCCAGTCTTCTTCAGCAAAAAAAAAGAGGAGGATTGGCAGATGTTAGCACAGGGTTGATCTTCCTCACAAAAAAAAAAAAAAAAAGAAAAGAAACAGGAAACTAGGTGGGAACCTCTTAAATTTTATCTCATTAATGCTTTCTTAGCCAAATTAAATACATTAAGGACAGAGTCTGACATGTGGTAAGCCTCCATTTTGGCTATTTTTAAAAAGCACATTCATATGAATTTTTATTGCATGAATATCAGGAGGAAGGGATAAATCCCTGAAGACCTATCTCCCGTCCTCCAGGAACCCCATGGGAAAATCCAGATATGAGGTAGTGCCCTGAGTACAAGATGGCAGCCAATTGCCATGGCAACAGCAGAAGAAGGAGTCTGGTTGGTTGCGGGGGCAGTGCCGGAAAGCCAGCTGGTGCCAGATGGACAAACCCAGCAGAAGGTAGCCCCAGCTGGGTGAAGCTCATGCTCCCTGTGCCCAGGGCTCTCCCTCCATATGCCAGCCTTAGCCTGGTCCTTCCCTTCAGGCCTCAAGTCTCCAGTGCTACTTGTGGGGGATGATGCCCAAACCATTCCTCCTCCTGACTCACTTGTACAACAAGGAATGACCGCGTAGAGACTAGAGATGCTTGTGCTCAAAGTCTCCCTGGCTCATGGGCCAAGGGATCTAAATAAGTTGAAATTTATTTATTTTTTTGTGAGGAAGATCAGCCCTGAGCTAACACCCATGCCAATCCTCCTCTTTTTGCTGAGGAAGACTGGCCCTGAGCTAACATCCGTGCCCATCTTCCTCCACTTTATATGGGATGCTGCCACAGCATGGCCTTGACAAGTGGTGCATCTGTGCATGCCCAGGATCTGAACCCCGGCCGCCAGCAGCGGAGCGCACGCACTTAACCGCTACGCCACGGGGCCGGCCCCCAATAAGTTGGAATTTAGCTCCCTCCTGACAATGCTGAGGAACCAACCATAACATCAGGGACTTGAGGGTCCTAAGTGGCAGGGCTTGGAGGTACCATTTTGTGCACATTTAGTGGAGGGTCACAATGTCTGGCTAGCGCTCCCTCTGGATCATATGGAGATGAGGGCTGCAGGGAGGGAGCAGAGGGGGCTAGGGCAATGTGCGGGGAACTCGAGCTTCACTCCACCCCTCCCTTCCTCCCGGATTGCTGGACAGTAGTGGAACAGGGCCAGCAGGAAGTTCTTCCTGAGAAGGCTGGAAGAAGCTGTGGTCATGGTCTACCAGTCTACCACCTAGCTGTTAAAAACGAGTGCCTCCCAAACCAGTCCAGCAAGACGCTGGCCTGCGTGAGACCACGAGAGCTCCAGGCAGTCCCCGGAGCCCAGCCACGCTTCTCAGACAGGCCTTCATCATGGATTGTACCCAGAGTCCCTTCACTCTCCTTCCTGGCAATCCACGCCCTCATTTCCAAACCCTGGATTGTCCTTACCTGATTGTCCCCACTACCTGCAATGGCCCCTCTAACTGTGTCCCTCAGCACTGAGAATTAACACTGGACATCTGCACACAGCCTTATGAAGCCCTCTCGTTCACACTGACCCATTTGATCCTCAGGACAGCCCTGGAAGTTAGGATCCAAAGACATTAAGCGGCTTGCCTATGGCGACCCAGGTAGTAAGGGAGGGAAGCCAGAATTTGTATCCTGACCAGCCCGATTCCAGAGTTAAAAACCAAAACCTCCTTCTTTCGTTGTCCTTCCTGTGGACAGAGCCCCTCTATCAAATCTGTGGGCAACCTGCAAGCTGAGGCTGTGACTGCTGTCATTCTGCTTGCAGCGCCCCAAATCCAAACATTTATTAGAAGGGACAGTGTGCCCAACAAGGGGTTGGAGGTGGGGGAGAAGGTCGACCCACACTGCTGATTAGCAATGAGTGACCTGAGGCCAGGTGAGGAGAGACCTCCCCTGTGGAGGACGAGACTGGGTTGGAGACTGAGGCAGCCTCAGGACTCCTTTTTGGCTCTGGTCGATCTTGTCTTTCCACCCTCCCAACACAGCCTTCCCCTGAGGGGAGGGGGAGCTCTGCGCAGGAGCTGGAGGTGGACTCCAATAGTCCCTATGCTGGGAAGATGAGAGAGGCTCAGGGCGGGGTCAGCCCCAGAAGCACCATGGGAAGGCATGTATGGGTTGGGGAAGGGAGGCTGGAGAGGCCTGGCAGGATCAGGAGTCTATAGCTGGGAAGAAACGGGGTGGGGGTGGGAGCAGGGCCTTGGTGCTGGGGACCTGTGGGGCCTGGCTGGAGCATAGAGAGGAGCCTATTCTGGGAATGGCTCCACCCTGCCTGGCCTCACTGTGAGACCCTGGCCAGGTCTCAGCTTCTAGTTCTTTCCCAGACCTGGTTAAAGCTTGAGGCCTCCTCTCAGCCCTCCCCTCCTCCAACCCCATTTCACCACTCCCAATGGGCCCCCGGGGAGCTAAGCCCCCTCACCTGACAGGGCCACTTCCACGGCCACTCACAGAGAGGTCTTTGTGCAGAGGCTGGGCATGGGGGAGGGGCAGTAGCCGGCACCCAGCAACTTACATTCCACCCCAGTGGCCAGCAGCGGCCTCATCATCTCCTCAGCTGTCTCTCCAGCCCCTCACCCCCTTTCTCTGGGAAGAATCCTCTCAGAGCCTTGGCCCACCCCTGGATTCCCCCTTATACCTTCCCTCACTCCCTCTTCCAGGAAGTTTCCAGGACTGAACCCCCTTCTCTATTCTTCAGTCCCCAATGGCCCATCTCCTGTCCTGATCTTGGGGCACTCATTGTGCTGGGGACCAACCTTGGCTTCTCCACATTTCTCCCCAGAGGGCTCCCACCAGCCTGCCTGGTGTGTGCATGCCGGGGTGTGGGGGAGGTTGATTCTGGATGGGGAGAGGCTGAGACTCTTCCTCAGGTGGCTTCCAGGCCTTTGATATGTTCCTTCATTTGTTCAGAACTAGCCAAGAGCCAGTCAAGTGTCTGGTTGGGTGCTGGGCTCAGTGGGCAGCTAGATGCAGGTGTCCTGGTCCTGGTCCCAGCCATACCCTGCACCCAGCGTCTCTGAGGCTCTCAGCCAACTTCCCAGCACCCCCATCAGATGCAGCCTCCCTGGTGGAGCACATAAAGCTCTTAATAACGGAACTTCTGCCTCCTCTTCCCATCTCCTCCAGCCCAGACTCCCTTTGATGAACACTAGGCCCTTAATGCACCATGCTCTTCCCTACTTCCCTGCCCTCACATACACTGTCCACTCTTCACCACCATCCACTTCCTCAAACTCCTTAGACTGACAACCCCCTGCTTACCTTTTATCACTTTTATTTCGTTTATCTTTTGTCATCAATCTTTTGGCTCCCTCCAGGAAGCCTTCCTTAACTCCCATAAGGTGGCCCACAGCTCCCTCCCCGATGCTCCCACCGCAGTCTTCACACTGCCTTGTAATTGTGTGTCTGCCTCCCCTACTGGACTGCTAGCCCCTCAAAGCAGCTTTGTATTCCACCGTCCTCTTCAGCACAGCACCCAGCCCACAGTAGGCACTCAATAAAGGCCTGTTGAATGAACGGGCTGACATGGAGGCACGGATAAGGGAAAGGAAGGTATGGACGTGAGACGTGCTACAAAGGAGGAAGTGATGAGTTCTGATGTGACTGACTTGGACCAGGGGGAAGGAAAAGGGCAAAAAATGCTCAGGACTTGCACCTGAGGGCCTAGAGTTTAATGCTGCCACTGACAGAGGTAGGGAAGCAGGAACATGGGGCAAGACTTGAAGCCCAATGTGGAGTGAGTAAGCATCTGAACGCCCTTCCTATGTCTGGGGAATGGCTCCCTCATGAGTGAGTTTTGGAGGGAGGCTGCACTTATCTGCGACTACAGAAGCCAAAAGCACAGGTACCTTCCCAGCCCTCCTTGCAGCGAGGGCCTGGGCATGTGGTCCAGGCTTAGCCAATCAAATATACCACTCCAGTCTGATCTGGGAGCTAGTGGCAGGACCACAGGCAGTAGTTAGCGTACAAATCTGGAGTTTCAAAGTGGTCAAGGCTAGAGAAATGAAATGAGCATTTATAACTCCAGCTGATGGTTGAAGTGATAAAAGTGAATGAAGGTGAGTAGGACAGAAAAAAGAAAAAAAGCTGATAGTAGAACCTTGGGGAACACTATTGGCTGGAGAACTGGTCGACCCAGCAGACTCAACGAAGAGAACCCAGAAGGAATAATCAGGGATATAACAGGAGAACCAAAGGCCAAAGGAGAAGACAGGATGGATATCAGTATGAAATGTTCCACAGAGGTCACAAGGCCTGAGCAAGCTGTGAGTGACCTGAGAAGGTGCAATTTCACCAGACTTATGAAGATGGAAGCCGGACTGCCGGGCTGAGGAGAGAAGATTTGGAGCTTTACCTCAAGTACACAGCCGCCCTTCATAGGCCCCAGAGAGACCCTCAAACTGGCAGATGATCCTGCCTGCCCACAACTTACCCTCTCCCTCCTCCTGCTGATACTCCCAGTTCTGATTCCTCCGGTAGTTTTTGCATTACCCACAGTCCTCCAAGTCTTCTGACCACTGGTGCTCAGAAGGGGTCTGGAACTAAGCCCAGCGTCGAGGCCTCTCCACCACCCTTCCTCCTGTGTGAGGCTCGCATCTCTTCCGGGGCTGCCCTTCCTCATCTCTCCCTCTTTTCTTCTCTCCCCATCCTCTCTTCCCAATTCCACTAGAAGGAAGACTCAACAGTGTTCTTGGTCAGCCATAAAGTCCTTATGGTCTCACCTCCCTCCATGTCCACCAACCAGGGCTGCCTCTCAGCCCTGGAGAGGCGGCCATTTTATAGACGCCAGCTACCTAAGATGGCGGCCTCCCTCTTCCTCTGCTTCCGTTCCCACAGCCTTGCCTCTTACCCCTGCTTCTTTCTTTCTGAAGCCTGAGCCCAACAAGGTGGGGGGCCAGGCTGGGGAGCCAAGGCCAGAGGAAGCAAGACAAAAAAGGACAGAAAAGCTGGCCCCTTGGCATCTCTCTTTGGCATTTGAGTCTAGTTCAGGGAGGGAGGGCAGAAGGGAAGAAAGAAAGTAGTGTGAGTTTTTATTTCTGTCCTCTTCCTGCCACCTCCCCCCAACACACACACACACACACACACACACACACACACACACACTTTGATGAAAACAAAATCTTTCCCCTTTTCTCTCTTCTACAAACCCCCTCCCCGTTTTTCCTGGCTCCTACCATGAGCCTCCTGGAATGCAAATAAGTTGTATTATGCAAATGTATGCAAATCAGGCTTAACGAGCGGAAGGAGGGGGCAGAATGTCGAATAAGTAATGGCGGAGGGTGCAGATGGAGGATGGCAGGAATGACTCCCTCTTCTCTGTTCCCACAGCCTGGAGGCTTGCTGGGGGTAGCAGGGTGTCCCTCACTTCTGGGAAAGAGTAGAAGGTCAAGGCCCCATTGCTTCAGCTGAGAAGGCCTAGGATGGCCTTGGCTATAGGTGAGGGACAGGAGAGCTTGCGGGGAGAGAGGGCTAAGTACAAGGGACTCGTGCTCACTTGCACAACCTCACTTGCACAACCTTATACAGAAACTCTAGATGCACCAACCTCCCTGCCCGTATGGCCTGCTGATGGCAAAACCTTCAGCTCTGGGTGCTGAAAAGAGGGTGATGCTTACGCGTGCCATGGCTTGTGCCTCAGAAAGGAGGATTCCCAAGGGAAGATTCCTAGCCAGACCCAGGTTCTTCTTGGGGGTTGGGGGTGAAAGCTGTCTCTCTTTGTGTTTTGGAAGGTGGGGGTTGGGGTGGTTGCCATGGCAACATAGCATGGAACATCCACCTCCCCAACATCCAGCCCCAGAGGACCTACAAGTTGGGGGGGATAATGGATCGACATCCCCTAATGCCCCCACCACCTGGCACTGCCAGCCGGAGATGGCGGCATCAAATCCTAGAGAGAATGGCCTCTTTGTTTCCCGGCTCACGGTGTTGGGGGAGCAGGCCTGGGCACACAGAAGGGCCTTTCCCAGGCCCCGTTCCAGTTTGCGTGACTCTTGCTGGCCTCTGGAGACTCCTTGTGGCCATCCACTGGCCTCTGTGCCCTGGCAGATGGTTGTTGCCCCCTTGCCTTTTCTCCCATGGGCTTGCCAGCTACTGCAGGGTATGCTTTCCCCTGTACTTCTCTCTCAGGCCTCCTCAGATAGACTTCTTGGCTTGTGTGGACACCTCACATGCCCAGATATGCGTCTTGTCCTTTTTTGTATGGGGGTAACCTGTGAACTCTCCCTACCACCATTAGGCCTGCTCCACCCAACTTAGGCAGGGAGACTCCTAAAGGAGGTATCAGACACAATAGGCAGGGCTGGGCTGGAATTCAGAAGCCTGAGTCTTGGCACTTCCACTAACCAGCTGAGGGACCTTGGTCACACCTCTTCCACTCTCTTGGGATCTGTAAAATGAGGGATATAGGGCTGATGATATCCAAGGCTCATTTTAGCTTTACCTGACTGGTACACTTTGTATCTTACATGAGCTTAGGTTAAATCCTCCCTGAAGTCTAATATTCATCCTTCTTACTGCTGGAGCAGCCTCTCTCATTCAGACTCCCCAACGAGGACAAACCCAATTTGCTTGAAATGGAATGTCAACTGCCCTCAGCCTTTTCCTTTCCCTGAGACTCCACATCTGCCTGCAAATAACTCCCACAGATTAAAAAATCTGTAGTTTTTAATATCTGACCGTGCAGACAAGAGGACCCCCTCCTAACCCTCCCAAAGGGGGTCAGCACAGCCATCTCACTCACCTCCTGGGAGCTGTCCGTGGTGCTGGATGTGGCTCTGGCGCACGTGTGGATGAAAGAGGGCGAGAGGGTGGTGGAGCACCTGCCCGCCCCAGGTGAGAAGCTAAAGGAAAGAGAAGAAGCAGAAACATTTGGAAACAGTAAAGAAAGGGGCAGATGTATTCCTGAAGAAAGTTTCTCCTCTCTGAAGACCTCCAAACTGCCAATACTACTTTGGGGGGAAGAGCACAAGAGTCAAGGAAACTCTGAACCTCTCACTCCTCCAACCCTAATGACTTAAATGTCTGTATTATCTCAGTCCTCATCTGGATCCTATTTGGAAATCCACAGGGAGATGGAGTCATAAATCCTGCCCTTGGGGAAGAGCTCAGGTTGAGGTAGTTGACAGGGTACAGACCTCTAAATTCCACCCTAAATTCTAAGACTCCTACAAGGAATTTAGTAATAAAGATGAAGAAGATACACAGGTGAAGATACACAATCTGCCTGATAGTATTATAGATATCAGGAGCTTGGGAGGAAAGGTAGGGAAGGCAGGGAAGGGTGCATGTGTGTATGTGCCCGTGCACAGGTGTGTGTGTGTGTCCTGGGCAGAGATGAGCCTGTATCAGTGGTTCTTAACCCTAGCTGCACATTAGAAACACTGAGGGAGCTTTTAAATGATATCGACGCCTAGGCCTCATTCCCAGATACTCTGATTTCATTGGTTTGGGGCTGGGTCTAAACATCAGTATTTTTTTAAAAGTTTCCCAAATGATTTTGGTGCATAACCAGGTTGAGATCACTGGCTTGGAAGAAAGCAGAAAAGAAAAATTGCAGGCGTTAAGCCTGATCATCTGGAGGGAGAGGCAAAGCTAGGGGCCCTGTAGAAGAAGGGAATGAATAGAGAAGAGAAGGACAAGCATATTGACTCCCGTCTCCTAGGAGCTCCCGATGGCCCCAGGCCTGGCCTAGAGACCGACTCAGGTGTTGGGCTTGTCTCTTCTGTGCTGTGGAAGTTCACACCACCCCAAGGCAATGAGATGGCCTGTCTCCCCACCCCAGTCCCTTATGCAGAGACAGGGAATGGGTGCAATGACCCTGAGGGCATGCTGCTCCCCTTCACCCAGAAGGTCCCCAGGGAGGCAGTTGTGGAAGGTAAACAGCAACAATGGTCTCTTTCAGTGTCCAGATTCCAACCCTTCAGCCCAATTAGCAGACACAGCAAACAGCAATTCAGCTGCCTTCAGCCGCTGTCATAACAAACTCAGAGCAGCCTTAATGGGGGGATTAGGGCAGGAGGGGGGGGGGTTTCACTCTGAGCCCTGGGAGAGCCTGGGTGGCAAGGAAGGGTTCCCCTTTTCTCTCACCTCTCTCCTATCTAAATATGCACCACCCACCTTTACCTTCCATAACCCTGCTCCTCATTCTCCTCAGAGCTCCGAGAATGTTTTTATGGTTTTGTCTGTTCTTTCCCTCCAATGATTTTAAAGCATTAACCTAAATTCGTTTATCTCCTAGGGAAGTGGGCAAACCCTGCCACCGGAAGAGACAGTGCCATAACCCCCACAATCTCTGAGGTCTCAGTAGCAAAGGAAAGGAGGCGAAAAGGTCAGTCTGTCCCCAGAACACTGGGTGGGAAGGAGGTGAAGAAATAAATGAGTATTCCAACTCCCAAACCTTGGGAAGTACAGACTTCAAGAAGATCTTCCAGATGTAGAAGAATGCAGAGGGGCCTGTGCTTCTCTGGTGGGTTACCAACCTTGGGAACTGAGTTGAGGGGCTGGGAGGCAAGAGGAGAGAAAACACTCCTTCCTAAAGTCACTCAGTGAGGAAGAAAAGTCTGCATGCTGATAGGCAGGTCTTTATTTGGTTCATTAATTATACCCACTACCTAACTGGTCCTTTAATTTAATAAACTGTGTTTTTAGTAACTCTAGAAGTCTAATGGAATAAACTTGGAGTGGCATTATTACACATGCCATATTTCTCTATCTACATAAGTCTGTTTACCAATCATAAATACTCTTACCAATAAGTTGTAAGATCCATTAAGGAGAGAAACACGATGGCCATTCTGCCTCGTGGACTCTAGCCTCTTCCCTTAACAGGTTTCCCAAGGACTGTTCCTCTTCTCCCCAGTCTTCAGACACTGCCTACCCAGGTCCCACGAGTCCCTCTTCAACTCCCAAAGCTGGAAAAGAAGGAAGAACTTCCTCGACTTTAAATGTTTTGAAATCCTCAGTCAAGAATATGCCAAAGAGCTGTCCTTTTTGCTTGATTTTATTGATTCTGAAATCAGTCATATGCTTTCAAACTGTTGTTCCAAACTGTAGCCTTTAACCCTTCTGCAGTCTAAGAATTATTCCTTACCCATGGGCATCATAACATATTATAAGATATTTTATATAGAATTCTTCATTTGCTCCATGTGACAACCCTGAGGATATAGAGTCTTATCCCTATTATACAAATATCTGAGCTGAGGTTCAGAGATCTGCGTAGCTGGTAAATGATGGTGCCTAAACATCGACCTTGGTTCAGTTACACTTGCTCTTTCTCTTTCCCTTGCTACGCTTGCTGATTGTGACAGTTCTTATGACTTTAAGGACCTTTCAACAAAACCCTTTCCATTCCTAGAATTGGGAAAAATTTGTCTCAGGGTGAGGGTGTGAATGACAATGTAAAACTTGAGTTTTAAGAGAGTTTTACATTTAGGAGAAAATTGCCTTTGAACTTCTGGACTCAGAATTCAATAGGAGGGCACTGGGATGAAGGACTGAGGAGAGAATGGATTAAAAAACCAGCTTAGAATTTGCTTTCCAGTAGGAATAGGTGGATGTTGCAAGATCTGAAGAATAGAGGTAAAAATTCTTGGGCACAGACAGAAGCGTGATGATACAAAGGAAGAAATTTCCTAACTGGTAACTGGTGAGACCCTTCAGAGCCCCTTTCAACCTAGCATCCCTGAACCCCCATTCTGTCAGTTCTCCTATTGGTTTAGCTGGAGGGGGTACTATCTGCTATAAAGGTTGGGGGAGGCAGGAGGCAGGACCCAGTGGTGTCACTGTGATGTGTGCATTTGGTAAAACCCCTTGAAGCCCAGAATGTCTGTTCCTCTAGTGGATTTACACCCATACATAGCCAGGCATCGCTAACCTCACACCAGAGCTTCCTGCCCACCGTGGATCACACACATCTAACCTCAAACCAGGTCACACACCACTCAGTTTCTCATCCTCATAAGCAGACACACAGCTCACAAACAGTCACGCATCATTCTCCTGACAACCCCACCCCCACCCCCACACGCACACACCATCTGTACACATAAGGCAGACACACACCCTCACCCCCACACTCCTCCTGGCCTCTACTCCCCCTTTCCACTGAGCTGCTTGTTCTGTAGGGTGTAAACCTTCAACCCACCAGTTCCCTCAGACCCGGTATTCTCCTTCAGAGATCCTGTGGTGAAATGTCCTAACGGGATACAACAATAATAATATAAACCCATTGTGGTTAATAATATATCTTCTAAGTCTTATGTGGGTGAGTCTCAGGAGATCCCAAATACACATTTCCAACCAGTTACATGAAAAATAAAAAAAAAAAAGAAAAAAGAAAAAAAAGGCCTATTTTTCTTGGTGCTTCTTCTCCTCAGGTCGCAACTCCCCAGCCCATGCTCACAACCAGGCCTTGCATCTCTCCATGGGCCTTCCCTCTCCCCTGATGCTCTGATTCCCTCCCTTCTTAGCTCTTCTCCATCCGGGTCTCCCCACCTCACCCTCTCAAGCCCTTCCCTCAGGCAAGTGTAGAGTATCAGAAAAAGCAATGGGTTTGAAACCATTGAGTGACATTAGCAACTCACTAGAGTCTGTGGTTCCCCACCTGTAAAATGGGGTTAACAACAGCTACAGTGTTGGAGGATCAGAGAAAGGCACGTAGGCAGAGCGCTGTTCCCAGGAAGTATGGCGTGGTGTTAGGGATTATTAGCCCCTGCCCCAAACCTGCTCCCTTTCTCCCTAATCCTGTCTCCAATTGCCCCGCTCCAAAAAACCCAAATTCCAAACAGCTCAAAAAGCAAGAGGCTGCTAATCTCTCCTTCCTCCAACCTCTGAAGTAAGGAAACATATGGACACTAGGCTCTCTGAAGCCCAATTGTCTTAGTTTGGGTTCCCCAATATTTCTCCCATATTACATATAATTGAATCATAATCTTCTAGCTATAAAATCAGTTCCTGGGAGGAAATTTTAAATTTACACAGGAAACTGGAGTCAGTACAAGGTTATTTCATCCAGTTCTCCTGCCCTCTTTTTACCCCTTCCTGCCCTGCCCTGCCCTGTGTTCTGGAATGCCAGGAGGTGGGGGATGGGATGGGGAGAGGTAATAAATGCAGAGGGGCTACCTCTAGCTTTGCTACGTTTACTTTATTCTACCAAGTGACTCTAGACCACCCTCCTTTCCACTGCGCCTAAACACTCTTTTGCTTGAAATATTTAGGTCAGGCCATATAAATGGATTCTTTTAGGAAAGGCCCTGATTAATCTCTCTAATTCTTCGCTTTCTCTGGGCAGCATAAATACTAAGCTACAAATTCCTTTGTGTTTGAGCCCCTTGAGGCCATTTGCTCTTGGAGATGATTTCCAAGAGAGTGAGGATGGAGTGGGAAGGGAGGGTGTCCTGAAAGACCCCAACTCAACCCCTTTGGTCTGTGAAGACAAAGCTGGCATGAGAAGCTTTTCAAGACATCAGATTCAGCTCCTGGGTCGGAAGGAGGAAAGAATATGGAAACAAGTGAGCTGAGAAATACTCTGCACTCCATTGCCCCAGAACCCAGCCTGGGCAAAAGGTTTCCCAGCCAGGCTGTCTTCTTCTTGAGCAACCCCCCACCCAGTACCTCCAGCGCTACATCCATTTATCTCCACTTTGCCATTCTCAGCTCCCAACCAAGCTGCATAGACCTATATGGCTTCAGGGAGTCATCAAAGCAAAGACCAGCATTCTCAGGTGACCTCCTCAAACCCTCTCACCCCAGCAGTAGCTGTGGATAGCCTGCGGGAAGCTGTTCATCGGAGCCCACGGGAGAGGCCTGGGCCGGGAGCCCCAGGCACTGGCCCGAATAACCCTGCAACTAGATTTCAACAGATCTCTCCCTTGGAGCAGCTTCTCTGGCAGTGACCCAATTCACAGCCTGCTGGAAAAGGCCCCATCCCGAGAGGTAACCACAATGCCGCTTTCTTGCTTCCCCCCAACTCGGCGGGGGAAGATATTGCCCCCGGCTAAAGTGAAAAGGGACGGCGACTCCTACCTGCGCGGACCGGGTTGGGGGGTGGGAAGTCGCCCCGACAGGCGCGGTCTGGAGGCGCGCGGGCCGCCGGGTCCTCTTCTCGCCTCCCACGGCCCGCGGGTCCTCGCGGCTCTAACCCCTCGCTTAGGCTTCCCCCGCCCGCCCGTGCGGCCAGCTTTCCCGGGGTCCCTCTGCGCAGTGTATGGGGTTATTTTTACTTTCGGTTATCTAGCTTTATGAAGACTCCACACCACTCATACAGCTAGATAACCAAAGATAACAACCAACCCCGCCTCCTGGCTGCCGCCGCCGCCTCTTCCGCGCAGCCCCTCGGCTGCCGCCGCCGCCGCCGCCAGCACCGCCGCCGCCTCCGGGTCGCCCGCCGGTGGGGGTTAGGGAGAGGGTACACGGGTGGAGGTGGGGGGCGAAGAGAGAAACGGAGTCCCAGACGGAAAAAGACTCGGAGACACAAGGATACAGACACGACAGAGACCGAAAAAGGCGTGGAAAGGATGCGACGACCGATGGTGTCGAAGTCCGAAGATCTTTCCCGGACCCCAAAAGCTTCCGACGCTCGTTTTCCCGCTCCCCCTTCCAGCCAAAAGCGGGAGTTCTGCTGGTCCCGGGGAGGAGAGACTCGTGGGCTTTTCGTGCTACCCGGGAAGACCGCCGGGACCGAGGCGGAGGCCTCCCCAACCTCATGGGGTCTCCACTGCCCTCCTTTGGAAGATCCAGGCGCATCCGATAGCCGGAGCCTTAGCCTTCAGAGGAACCCGAGCCCCCGCGTGGGGGTCGTAGCAGGGAGGAGGGGAGCGGCCCCATCACATCTCCCAACTCGCGAGGGCGATGGAAGCGAAGCAGAGCTGGTGCAGGGGAAAGGGCTGGATTCAAGCTACCGACTAAAAGGGGGAGCAGGTACCGAAATCCTGGGGGTAAAACCCCGAAGGCGTCCCAGCAAGAAACAGGGAAATCCCGGCAACGCAAAGAGAGAGGGAAGCCAGTGGGGGTGGGGTGGGAGGCAACCCAGAGACTCCCAAGCGAGTCTCTCAAGGAGAGAAGGAAAGGGCAAAGACCCCACCCGGGAAGGGATCCAGGAGAGCACCCACGAGATGGAGTGGGAGGAGGAGAGAGGACGGTGGGCCAGGCAGGTGAGCTGAGTCCCAGGCCCCGCAGGACTCCCCACCCCCCACCCCGAGAATGAGCTTTGTACAAAGAGGTCCAGAAATCACCCAGGGCTGTGAAAATGGCCGGGGGTCCGAGGCTCGACGTGCCATAGGGGTTGGCGGGGGTTCCGATCAGGAATGGGAATCGTCCAGGAGGTCCCGGGAGCCCCGAGGAGGGTGTGGGGCTCGGCCGGCCCCTCGTGGCAGACGCGCAGGCACGCTGGGTTCCGAAGCGCTCGCCCATCTCCTGCCCCGAGCCGGCCAGGCCACTTACATCGAGCCCAGGGTGCCCATCTGTGCTCTCTGTGCGGTCCTCCGGGCACATTCCCGCCCACGGAGCGCCATGGCCTTGGGTCCGGGGTGCCAGGGCTCAGCTGGCGACGGGCGGAGGCGCCCGCCGGGATCTCAGGCTCCGCGGAGCCAAGGCTAGCAGGGCAGAGCGGGCCTCTCACCTCGCTCGCTGTCTCCTCCGCCTCCGCCGCGGCTCTGGCCCGGGCGCGCTCCGGCTCCGGACTTTTCATTCATCCTTTCACGCTCCCTCCCCAGGCCAGCCTCTGATTGGTTCCTCCGAGTCTGACGTCACCGCCTCGTTCCCCCGTCGGCCCCGCCCCTCCCGCTTCTCCAGTCGAGCCGGAGAGCGCAATTGGGGCGCCCCTCCTCTCGGAAAATTGGGGGGAGGGGGGAGGAACTACTATGTCTGCTGATTCCCAGCGTCTTGCTGCCTCACCCACCCCCGAGACCCGCCTGCCACCTCCAATCCATTGCCATTTGTGGTTTTGATCTCCAACCTCACTCGTTTTGTAGGTTGTACGTTTTCCATTTTGGCTCTAGTTATATGGCACCAGGTCCAGGGCTCGAAGACGGGAAAAGAGATCGGGTGACATCTCCTCAAAAAGAACCAGATTACTGGAGACTCTACCCCTACCTTCCTTTCATCAGAATAGTCTTTGTGCTCCTCGGGTTCTGATCCCTCCCAGACTGTGATCCTAATCTTTTAGGACTGC